CGACGGCCATATCCCCCAACTTCGTCTCGCCCAATCTTTCTTCCTGCCATACTCCGCCCTTCTTCTTTTTCTTCTTCTTCTTCTTCTTCCTCCTCCTCCTCCTCGTCCTCCTCTTCTTCTTCTTCTTCCACATACACACCTGCAAGGTTTGTGACATACTAGCATTGATATCCCCCAGACCCCCCGCTGACATCCCTCCCTATTGCATACTGTAACGTGCAGACCAGAACAAGAACCGACCTTTCAATACAAAGTACAAGATAACACAGTGGAAGACTTAGATACCAGTGATCCGAACAATCAATGTTGTAATGCAGCCCTGAACATACATCATCATCATCGTTACAAGGTGTGAATGGGTCTGGCGCTTCACACAGGAAGACTGCGCCAGCCCATACCATACACAGACGAGGAGGAAGGGGATAGACGAAGAGGAGGGGGAAGATGGGAATGTCGTCAACACCAAGTTTTCGGCACAAGCCCAAATAGTCCCTCATCGAAATGTCTGAATACCAAATGTCAAGTCTGGATCCAATGTCGTCAAGTCTCAAGTCACAACTCTGTCTCTCTGTCGTAGTCTGAGAAGTCAGGTGGCGAGAGGGTGAGAAGAGAAGGTGGACTTAGAAGAGGAAGAAGAAGAACTCTCTCTCTCTCTGTGTCCAGTACTAACCTGTGAAGTTCGCGCCTTGATGCAGGTACCACGAAGATGGAGCTGGAGCGATGGCGCCACACTTAAGTATCACTGGCCTCCGCCACTCTCTCCCACTCTACGATCTACCACCTACCAGCGCCCAACGCTGGAGTCACGCCGATCACCGGATGCACCGAAGTGTTGTAAGCGAACTCGATGTCGGGGAGGCGGTCAACCCAATCTTTCTGGTCCGGACGGATGAGCGTACGAAGCATCATTTGAGCGGTTTGATGTGCCCGCTCCGTCTGCCCGTCTGTCTGAGGATGTCGAGCCGAACTTGGTTTCATTGTTGTGCCGGACTCCTGCATGAGAGCAGTCCAAAACGCCGACATGAAACGAGTGTCGCGGTCRCTGACAATGTCTTCTGGTACACCGTGGCCACAAATCCAACCAGTGTGCAGGAGGCGTGCCAGCTCCGGAGCCGTTGAGTAGTACTTGCAAGGTAGAAAACGCGCGTACTTACTCAGTCATCCACAACCATGAGGATGCCGTCGTGCCCGAGCCGGTCGTGAGGAAACGGACCGGTGACGTCCATGGCAATGGAGAGACCGGGTTCCCGTGGGATAGGCATCGGGTGTAACTCGCCGTAGGGATTGCGGTTGTGGGGCTTGCTGCGTCGGCAAACTAAGCAAGAGTCGCAATACCGAGTGACATCGGTAATGAGGTCGGGCCATCGGAATTGCTGTCAAAGCCGTGCAATAGTGCGGTTGACTCCGAAATGGCCGGCGAGTCGTGAATCATTATACTCGCTGAGGAGGCGAGTCCGAAGACGACGGTCGTGTGGGACACATAGTAAGTCCTTGCCTCTCGAGTGGAGGAGCAAGTACCCGTCGGCAATGCGGTAATGGCTGGCCGGCGGGTGATCCGAAGATAGCTGTGCATAGAGCGTGCCGAAGTCCGGATCAGACTGATATGCCCGGATGAAGTGTCGCTGAAGCTCCTCGTCGAATGTGAAGGCATGATGTGTCATAGCGCAAAGATCAGGTCTTCGCGAGAGTGCATCTGCTGCGCGATTGGAGAGGCCGGGGACATGCTTCGGTGTGAAGTCAAATTGGTCGATGGAGAACATCCATCGTCCGATCGTGCTGCTCACCGTGTCCTGCGTCTTGTAGTAGGTCAATGGATTGTTGTCTGTGATCATGTGAACCTACGACGCCCAAGGAGGAAGTGCCGCCAGCGCTTGAGAGCCATCACGAATGCGAGCAGCTCCTTCTTCCTTGCATCATCAAGCGAGTTGATGGGAGGCACTTTGTGGCTGAAATACTCCACAGGGTGCCAGTCGTCGCCGTTGTGCTGTTCCAAGACTGCCCCAATGCCATAGCCGGAAGCGTCCGTAGTCACTCTCATCGGCAGGGTGGGGTCATAGATGCTAAGGACGGGTGCCATGAG